TCTATTGTTCCAATGACTGTCATAAAGCCCAGCTAAATTAACGCACCTAAATATGTGCGAATGCGAAACCGGGAAGAAATATTACGTCAATAAGCAGGCTTTCATCTTGGATAAACAGGATATAGGAAACACAAAGCAAAAGTTTGCCCTGGTAAGCGCTTTACAAAACCGTGGGTGACTACCAATAAGGATGAGACTAAAAAATACTTTACGGAAATTTCGCCCTTTGGCACCATCGAAGACAACAGTTGGTGTGGATGGAAAGTTAATGAAAAGACGGATGGAGAGGCCTGAACAACACACACCGGTAGTCCATCAGGCTTCACTTCCAAGACCGCTACTTACAAAATGGCTGGCGTTGGAATGCCCACATGACTATCAATCGAAAGATCATTGTAAGAACAAAACGACTGTACGATAACGTTAGGAAAACCACTCGATGACCCCAAAACAACTCCACAAGGCAGCCACTAAAGTTCCAATCTCAACTCCTGTTTTACCAGTACTAGAAAAATCTGCCGAGCACTAAGATTAGGTGAAACTTGACGTTTCTAGTGAGACATCAACGCTATAAAATGCTACTAGACCAGGATTTGGGTTTGACATAGCCCAATGCTATGCATAGACCCGTTTGACATAAACAAGGACGACCGTGCTCCGTTAAGAAACATTACTGAGTTTTTAAGAGGGCAGCCGTCCTGAATCTTCATGTTACAGCTGGATACGACCAAAAGTAATCTTAAGAATAGTGCTAGTTAGATGGAGAGCGATAACGAAACTACTATTATGCTGCTAATGCCCTGATTTCAAACCGTATGCACCCAAGATGTGAGAGTTATCAAAGTCATGCTTTGAGTACAGAGGCTGATATTCTCTTAGGAAAATAAAAATGAACGCAGTAGTAGAGGCTATAGAGTAACATCCAAAGAGGTTCGCTTTCAATAAATGCTGCGCAGAATGTCAGTGTTGGGGAGAGTAACAAATGTGTTACGATTTTATAGCCCTGTTACATACCTTACTAATCAGCCGTCAAAATAAGACTTACGGATACCCAGTGGCAAAAAGATGGGATTTAGACTAAAAAGGGGAGATAGGGAGGAAGGTGACAGGGGACGAAAGGGTACACAATAGGCTGCCTATTCATCGTTCCTCCCCGCCTTTTGGAACTGTACAAAATGTGGATCTTTTCTATTTCCCCTGCCTCTCTTAAGGTGGCGCAAAAGTAGTGAAATCGATCCCACAACGTTGAAAACGCTCCATGATGCTGCGACGGAATGTAAACTTGGACCGCTTGCCGGTCTCCCGCGATCCTACTGCGGCGATTGTGGTGCCCTCGGATTGCGCACCGTCATCATCATCCTCCTCGTTGCCGTTGTCATCGTCGCCCTCGTTCATCTTTGAATAGATAACACCGCCAACCCCGGCGTTGCCCCGACTACCACCGCCAATACAATTGCCATTGGTGTTTTCATCGTCACTAAGTCCCACCTCAGCGATAGTGCGTTTAGAGACGTGAGAA